TACATCTCCGAAACGCACTGTTCGAGTGTGTATGGACTTTTAAATACAAAATTTCCAGGTTCTTGTTACACTTGGACGATAGTGAATTATGGCCAGTTGAACAACTCTGTACACGTACATTTCAATTAAAAATAAAGTTGCCACCAGCCAGTTGGAAGTTGAAGAAGGGGAACAAAAAAAAAAAGAAAATTGGATCTCATAGGAAAAACAGAACCTATCGAAATTTGCATGGCTTAAAGCCTTGAACATTTTTTTACATTTTAAGGAGCCTTTTCATTTCCATCATTTCACTGATTTTTTTTTTACCCAACTCAAGGAAAACTTTTAGACTTTTTGGCCAAATCTGACGAGAGCAAATAAGCTGGCTGAAGCTTTATTTAAACGCTAGGTCGCAGAAAAAGGCGAAGGCCACAAGGGGGGAGGAAAAAATAAGCGGCGACAGATAGAAAGTCAAATAAAATAACCAAAATCGTATTGTTTGCTCCTTGTTCCACTGACCAATGTCAAGTGTGGAAATGGTCAGCCATTGACCGGAAAATAGACGCGAAAAATGGAGGTGTGATGGTAACGACGGTCTCTGAAATCGAGCCTCAAAACTGTGTCAAGTGAATGAAAAAAACATAAAAAATGCCACATCACAAACAAATAAACCCCCGCACCAAAAAAAAAACAAAAAATGGACAAAACATGGCAAGAAAACTGCAAGCGCCCGACATTAATCTTCGAAATTTGTTTTGTGCAGACAACAAAACCACACGGAAACAAAAGAAAATAAAATACAACAATTCGGGGTGCTTTTTAAATCTCTCGAGGTTTTACAACAATAGTTTCTCTGCTTGATGGTATGCAATAAAAATTTGTTTCCTTCAATCTGCTGAAAATACTCGATTGCTTTTATAGCTATTTTTGGTAGAAAATGGCTTATGCTACATTTGGTCTTGTTGATTTTTTAGGGCCCGGAGAAATTTAAATTTAATCAATAGGAAAATTGATAGAATTATATTGTTTGATATGTTTAACTATTCTATTGATTTCTGCATAATTTGGAATGGTTTGCTTTCCTGAATCTGTGTATTATATTAGATAAAAGGTTTTTTCTTAAGTAGAAATAATAATAAAATTATAACTTATTTTTTATTGGGAGTTGCAATGAAATAACATATTTTTTGCTAGAAAAACTATCATTTCATTTTTAAAAATCTGTTTCCAAAAGTTTTTTAAATGGTTTAAAGAAATAGCTTTAATCTTTGCTTGTTAAAATACAAAATTAATTGTTCAATTCGTTTAACAATTTTTTCCCGTGCACTGGCTGTCTTTTCGGTAAAGCCAGAAAAAGAGAAATGTTTATGGGCCGCGGCCTTTCGGCAAGTGACGCTTGAAATGTGACCAAGGTTAATATAGCCCAATGGCAAGGGGACACGGCTTACGGGTTGCGATTACGGTTACGGACAGGACCTATGGCCTCTGGCAATTTAACGCTTGCGATTTTCGCTAAGGGATTTCCAGGGACTCCCCATTGAATGCCAAATGCACACAAATTGCTTTGGTAGGCGAAAAAAAAAGTGGTGCAGCAAGAACGAAAAAAAGCGCAGCGAAGCGCTGCCCCAAAGGGTCCACAATGTTATGCTCCAAGGCGCCCTTTCTTCGCCACTCTTTGGGAAGCTTTTTAAATTCACACGCTGCGCCTTGCAGTTGTTTTTGCACTAAGAACAAATATTGCCATATCCATAAGCTAGGCCTTTTTATCTGGTAAAACTATATATACCCCCACTAACTAATAAAGCTTATAGAATATATCGGGATGCAGGGATTTTGACATTATCTAGAAGAGTATGCAACAATAAATATTGAATTAAAAAGTCGAGTGATTTGTTACGAAATGACAACGTTTTTTTTTTCATTGCATACTTTAAGTAGCCTATTTAAGTCACTTCAAGAACTCCAGTGTTTTTTGAATTTATAGAATTTAAATAATAAAATCAAAAAATTAACTGTAAAAAAAAAAAATATATGCTATCTTTATTAATTTTTTCTCAGTGCCGCCACTTATGTTTTATCCTCCCCGCACAGCCTGAACTCCGGCAAATGCAATTTACTTCTGTGTGAGAATGCGGGGGAATTTCTTTTGCCTTTTCGGTTTTGGCTAATTAAATTTTATGCTCGGTAATTTTAGAAAAAAGCCTCATCAACATTTGCGGCCGCGCCAAAGGGGCCGCTGGATTTTGGCCTTCTTCTTGGCCGGAATTTAAGTGAAAATGCTGGGAAAGTAAGAAGAAGGCTGAAGTTGCACATAAAAGCGGCAAACGCAAATTGCAGGCAATAAATAAGGCATCCACGAAAAATCGTTGCACACTTTTTGGCGCCGGCGCGTGCTAAAAAAAGGAAGCATAGGGCAATAACGATGGGGGTGGTGCAAACTTCCCTCCCTATGCATAGTCTGGCATCATAAACAACAACGAAATTTTAATTGAGCCACGGGCAGAAGGAAGTGGCTTCCGGCAAAGAAAAGAAAAGTTCCAAAGGACCGTCCAAAAAAATTAATGTCCAATACCAAGGAGTCGAAGGACTCTCACAATACGCTCGGTAATAAATACTAACATCTGATCGGGCGACACCAGACGACAACGAAATCGATTTCCACGCTGCCCAGAAAATGCAACAAGAGTTGCCGGGAAAATCATAAATATTACGAAATAAGAAAAAATAAATTAAAAACTAGCTTAAGAAAATTGTATGGCATTGATTTGGTTTTTTATTACATAGAATCAAAGGTTTACAAATAAGTTATCCGATTATGTTTTATAATTAAATTGTTTTAAGGGCATGTTATAAAATAATCTTTGTAATTTCTGTTCACTAATTTTCGGATTTTTTAAAGCTCTTACCACAAACAAAAAAGTATTTTAATCAATAATTAAATTCAAAACAATTAAATGCAGCAGATACTAAGGGGCTCTTTAAAATTGTAAAGTAATTAGAAATATTTTGTCAAATTTAAAAAATGAAATATGTTGTGAAAACTAAGTTAAACTGCTTTTAACCATTGTGTATGTAATTTAAGCCTTTTTGCTAAAAAAGAAAAATGAGTTAGAGTATCTATAACATTCTTGCATTTCCACCCACAATGTTACTACACATAGTATATGTATTTATACCTTGCTTTGGGGAGTTCCCCGCTGCTTGACGGGTATAAAGGTTTTTCGATTATGAAGAAAAATGCACAGCTGACGGGTCCAAACATTTATCATTTGCCACCGCCACTGCGGAAAAGGGATGGGGGGAACGGGAAAAAGGAAAAACTAAAAGCGGAAAACTGGAAAATGGAAACCGACTGCTAGGGCAGTTCCGTCTTCATATGGACAGATATTCTTTTTACATGTCTGCAAACGTCGTGCCCAAGCTAATTTCTGTGTTGCAATCTCCGTGGCAAATTAAATTATGGTTAATTGAATTAAATTAAAAACAAGAAAGAAAGCAAACTTCGGCAAGCCGAAGTTCATATACCCTTGCAGCTATTGCATGAATTAAATACTTTTGAAAACATTTAAATTATGATTTACTTGAGTATATGCTGAAAAACATTGAAACTATGATGATTTGCAGCTCAATTATTATATAGTTATTTTATATATTTTTATTATTTCTATGGGAGCTATATGATATAGTCGTCCGATTTTGATAAAATTTAAACCATAATTCTGAAATAATTAAACATTGCTATATGTCGAAGAACTAAACAAAAAATTAAAAAACAGCAAAGTTATAATTTTTTTCAATTATTTTTCCGATTGTTCCTATGGGAGCTATATGCTATAGTCGACCGATTTTGATGAAATTTAAAACATAATTCTGAAATATTTAACCATTACTATATCTCGAAGAACTAAACAAAAAATTAAAAAACAGCAAAGTTATAATTTTTTTCAATTATTTTTCCGATTGTTCCTATGGGAGCTATATGCTATAGTCGACCGATTTTGATGAAATTTAAACCGTAAATCGGAAATATTTAACCATTACTATATGTTGAAGAACTAAACAAAAAATTAAAAAACAGCAAAGTTATAATTTTTTTTCATTTATTTTTCCGATTGTTCCTATGGGAGCTATATGCTATAGTCGTCCGATCCGGCTCGTTCCGACTTATATACTACCTGCAATAGAAAGACAACTTTTGGGAAAGTTTCATGCAGATAGCTTTAAAACTGAGAGACTAGTTTGCATATAAACGGACGGACAGACGGACAGACGGACAGACGGACGGACAGACGGACATGGCTAGATCGACTCTACTAGTGATGCTGATCAAGAATATATATACTTTATAGGGTCGGAAACGTCTCCTTCACTGCGTTGCAAACTTCTGACTGAAATTATAATACCCTCTGCAAGGGTATAATAAACTGCCAGCGAGGCAGCAGAAGCTCGAATTTTCGGATCGCACATGTTGGATGAAATTAGATTTAATTGTGCATAAATTTTCAATCAAAAGTGGACCGTTAGGCCCGAAGGCCAAAGAATTTTCTACGAAAATATCGAGCGCTGAAAAGCCCTACAAAAAGTACTTTCAGATAGAAAAACTAATAACTGGCTATATGTGAATAATATGTGAAAATGTCTGATAATATGTGTCCAGGAAACGGATATTAAAACTCTGAGTGGGGCAGAAAAAAAAATGGGAAAAGGAGCCGGGAGAAGACGAAATGAAAACAAAATGAAAAGCCGAAAAATGCCAGTTTATTCATTTTCTTTTTTATTTTCTACATTTGTTATTTTACTCTATCATGGAGACTGCCATAAGTTACCATATTTTTAATATACTGATACTACTTTGGGCTTTCAGTTGTGTTAAAACTTAATAGTTTCAACATTTGTTATTTTTATAAAATTAAATGATTATATTTAATTTATAAGACTAAAGAAATGTTTAAGCTAACACTTGTTTAATATATATTTCTATTATTGATTTTATAAAATTCTACATTTTTCAGAATACTTACTCAAAGTTTTGACTTCCTGTGGCCTGCTTTATTTCCAGTTGTAGTTTTTCCTTACTTCTGATTTGATTTATGAGAGGAAGCAAGTCATGAGCGTGGGTCACTCCTTTTTGTTCGCCGCTCGGCCACCTGGCGTGTGTAGATGGCGATAAGACACTTATTGGGCTTCCTCCGCCCGACTTTTTCCGCCCACTTTCCGTCCATTTTCCGCCCGACTTTCCGCCCACTTTTGACCAACCAATCCATTCCTTGGCTGCATCTCCATCTGGCTGTGGTAAATGCGATAAGGTTGTTTTTTTTTTTTTCAATGGGCGAAACTTCAAAATGCTAAAGTGAATTGAATTTAATAGGAAATTAATGGCATGGACAGGCACTCGAAGTGCCTTTTCACCAATCCGTTCCTTAACTATATGGCATTCAAAGTGCTCCTAAAAGTATTCGGGATCTAAACTTGAAGTCGAAGTCGAACTGGGCTGTGTTTGTCTTTGGTTGACCAGCTTAGAAAACTGAAACGTCTGAGTCCCAAGTACCCCGGCAATTTGTAAGGATCGAAAACCAGGACGTGGCAGAAATTTTATAGCACTTAGTCTATGGTAAATTGAACGCAAGCTAAATTGACTTGAACAAATGAAACTCGAAAATGATCCGATACAAACAGTAAACCGATTTAAACAGTAAAATCAAGGGGCTCTAAGTGTATGCATTAACATACATATTTTAGACCGAAATTCCGTGGGATCATTTTCGAAGGTCCATTATATTTTAATTTTAATTTTAATACTTTTAGACACCTTTTAAGTCATTTCAAAACCCTAGTGATTTCCGTATCAATCCCCATTAAATAGAAAAGCAGATATTCCATTTTTGTATGATGGTTAGCCATTAAAATCGCTAAAATTTCCATACAGAAAATGCTAAAATCACTTAAAATTTCATTAAAAATTTCTTTTATTTTCGGTTGCCAAATAACGATTCTAGTCTTTTTGTGCTGGGCCTGTCCATTTTATGTCCAATTTTTAATTTTGTTTTTTAATTTTTGTTATTTCACTCTACTGTCAGGCTATATAAACTGAAGTCCACAGCCAATTTAATGGTTTTTAAGCTTTGTCAGACGCTAACTATGAAAATAACAAGCAATTATGATGGCGAATTTCGCTGTTCGCTGATTCGCCGATTTTCGCCATACCATTTCCAAGTACTGTGTAAAAATGCAGGCCATCAGCTAGCCCACTTTATCTGGCTGCAAATTCCATCCACTTCAGTTGAGTGAATAGTGAATTCCTGCTTTTTTGCCGCTCTTTTCACAGAACCCAACATAATTCAATTAAATATTGAACATCATTTGAACTTTGCCTTTTTCCCCTATTTTGTTTCGTTTTTTTTCAGCTCCTAATTGGCTGCCAGTCAAATGCCAAAATCGGTCAGCCTGCAATTTGGATTTGCTTTTATTAACGCGTCTGCGGACCGGCAATTGAATGTGCAGCCAAAAAAAAGCAATGAGCGAGATTGACGAGGGGAGTGGTGAAAAAACGAAATATATTGCTGAAAAAACTCCAATTCAAATAAAACAAAAAATGGTGAAACCCAAATTCAAATAAACAAATGGCCAACGGGAAAAAGCAAACTTTCCAGCACACCGAAAAAAGTTCACATTTTTCCAGCAGACACATAGAACGCAGCTTATGCCTGTCCTAGTACAGCACAGGTCAAAATAATAGTAGTTAAGAGGACCAATCTACTTTAAAAAATTAATTTTGAATTAATAATCAAATAAAACAAAAATACAAAATATAATTACACAAAACTTACTACTAAAGTTTAGAGTTTTTAGTACAAATTCTAAATTCGTTAAATAGTTCATCATTTTAAATGTATATAGATATTTTTAGCTGTACTATTAATTGAAAACAAATACTTGTATAGTACCTGGGAATATTTAAATACTTGTGGTTATTAAATTAGTAAAGAACAAAATCTATGCTTTATTGTTTCTATTTGATTTTTTTTAGGGCTTGATTTTTTTGCCGCCATTGTATCATCTGTTGGGAATTATGCAACGGCCGGAAAAATAGTAATGAATGAAATGGCAGGCTGACACAGACGATACCCTGTAAATCACTCGACTTTCCCCCCTTTTGGGTTAAAGTTTATCTCTTGATTTGGCAGTGTGACAGATTTGGTCTATTTTTAGTTGCAATGTTATGGCCATGAGTGGCCAAATAGAATCCATTTTGTTTGCGCATTATGAGCGGCACACACACAATCCCAAAGATATATGTATAAGCAGGCAAATCTGTGTCACGAAGCCAGAGTCCACTGTCAGTTTATTTAATTGAAATGTTGCTGGAAACCTATAAATTACAAACACATGCAGTGTGCATATTTGACAACACACACACACCCTGGACAATGGGCATGCGAAATGGGTGGGCATAAAGGGTTATCTAGGGTTACTGTATACGTGGAGGGGTAAGCTAGTGATAGACATGCACATTAGCAGCTGAAGTTTTATGCATGCCAACGGACAAATAAACAAACAGACTGGCCACATAAAAACAGTCCAGACATTAAAAGAGGAAACCAGCGAAGGGCAAATTTTAAGTGATGGGGTTTGGTAAGAAAAAAGAAGCAACTATTATGATTCACTCTAGATACCCCGTTCTATTCTTAAGCTTCAGATATGGAAACTTAATTCTTAATACTTTTTTAAGATGATAAATACACTACAAAGAAATCCAGCAGCTAAACCAAATATGTATGATAAAATTTATTTATTTAATTTAGTTAGTTTTTATAAAATTATAAATGTTTTTATCGTATTTAATCTTACAAAAAATCTGTGACTCGAGGTTTATTTTAATATATTCTTATGGTTGCTATACAGTAAGTTTAAAAATGATTAAAAAACACTATATTTAGAAGTATTTGCGTATGATTTTGTTTAATTATTTTTACATTGGCATTCCTTTCTACTTTTCATAATATTAACTTGATTTAATGATGATTTTCAAGGGAGAGCCTTGGAGTCAACCAAATAACCAATCTTCTTTTGGTTATTCGTGTGTCAACATTTCAGCATCGTCAAGTGAAAGTGGTAAATGCATCCTGCAGATCATTTGTGCACTCAAAAGACCCAGAAAGCCATTGCCCACTTAGCTATGCACTAAATAAAGTGACAACGAATAACTGAGAAAAGTGTCAAATATTTATAGTACAAATGTCGACCAAACAATTTTGTCTTTCCCATGCCGGAAAAATGGAAATAGTTGGGCAACTTAAATGGCATCTGCTGACTACCATATCCTTGGATATCCAAATGACCAAAAGGACAAAGGACGCAGGTCAAAAAAGGACCAAGTCGAACTCATTTGTGCAGCTTACGTGAAAATGTGTTTATCTTCTTTGAGCTTTGTATATATCGCACAAAGCGGTTGACAAGTGATTTTATTAACTACATATTTTGAGACTAAAATTTAAAATGTTCTGTAATTTAACTTTAGTTCACTGCAACTATGCATGTTGTATTTCCTATTAGGATTAGCAAAGACAGAATCACTCATAATTCAAGTGGAACTAAGTGACTCTTCAGGGGCACTTGCAATCGTGTCCTGGTTGGTTAATTTGTGGCGCTGGGCTTCGGCTTCGGCATTGGCTTGCCACGGCTTCATTTATCTGGCCAAAACACACAGGACACTCATCCTGGGTGGTAAACATGTGGAATCGATATCAACAATTTATCGTTTAGCCGGATAGTTGAGCACGGAAACCGAGTTTTGGGGCCACGACGACACACGCAGGTGTGAATGCTGGTGTCCCCCAAAATATCGTCGTTTTGGTCCTTGAGTGCCGGCAGGATTTGCATTTGGTAGAGGCGTAGTTACAGTTATTTAATACCGACACACACACACACACTCACAAACCCTTAAACAAGTCGAACATACACAGTGAAAAAAATGAATTAAAAATTAAATTGGTGCTTATATTTGACTCTTTATGACTAAATAAATGATCTCTTTCTTGTAGGACCAATAAACATTAACAATTTAAATTTACGTTCTAAAACAAAAGCATAAGACAATTAAAAAAAGGATTTTAATATTTTTACATAAACTATTTAAATATAGACACTTCAAAGTATAACAATAATTACAATTTTAATAATTAATAATTTTAAAAATGTAATGGTAGTTTTTTAGCACCTCTTTAAAGTAGCAATAATGTTCTTTCATCTGTAGAGCTAATGTATATTTTTATAATTTGTTAAAACACAATTTAAACATTTTTTGTAGGAACTTAATTATTTAAATGTAAACTCAAAACCAATAATTACAAATAAATTATTTACAAATAATAAATTTAAAGCTGCCTCCTAAGGAGTTCAGTTCATAAAATAGTATTTATTAATAATAAGTTTCAATTTGGTAAGAGTTGTAAATGTATTTCAAGCACTTTATTTCTCCGGGTGCAAAAGCCGGTGCTTTGGACCGAAGGACAAGCAGAGAGGCCACATCCTCCAGACTCCGGCGGAGTCCTTGCACCTGGGCGTGCATCCGTGCGAAACCGTGTCCGGACTACAGATTCCGGACTTCGGCTTACCATCGAGTGTAAAGTCAACATTTTGTGCTGCAATTAAGGCGGAAAGTAAATTGCCTAGCCAAATGTTGTATGTATATATATATATATATATATATATATATACGCTCAACCAACTTTTCTGAGTCCTTGGCACAAGCGCTACACATGTCAATCAAAAAAATATAAGTTACTTTAGTCATTAGACAAGCAATGACGTGGTACCCTATGTTATTTTCATTGCTAATGGGAATATATTTTAAAAAATTAACAAATAAGTAATTCTTACACCATATAATTTAAATCACATACCTGCAGTTACTATTTATCCAATATTAAACGTGAATTTTGTTCGTTAACCACCGGGTATGAAATTTTTTATACAATTTATTTGTAAATAAAAAATATTATTAAAATTCATCCTTCTCCGCAGAATAAAATGATTTAAATACAAACCGGCGGTAACGTGTCTTTTTTCCTGTGTGCAGCCACCAAGGATCACCAAGGAATCGTCGGAGGCATTCGTCTTTTGCACATTTTAGGCTTTGAGACAGACGCAAATTTCCCAGGCACGTGGAAATTTACGGCTGTCAGAACAAAACTGAAACCGAAACCGAAACAGAAACCGAAACAGAAACAGAAACCGTAACGCAAACCGAAACCGAAACCCAAACAGGAGACCGTGAGGAAAATGGGCTACTAATTCAGGCTGACAAGTCGTGGCCACACCGCAAAAAGCCTTTAAGCCACGTGGAGGACTTTGAGTGGCTTAGTTGGGCATGTCTGTCGGATGACTTGTTTACCGCAAGTTTTTCCCCAGTCCGGTTTCAGATTGGTCAGGATAACTGTTCCGGAAAACCGGATAGCCGGATAGCCGGATAACTGGAAAACCGGGTAAAGCCCATTAGGATTCGGCTTAATGGTCAATTTAAAGATTTATATTGCCCCCACCGTCTGTCTTCGTTGGCGCGCATCAATTCAAATTGTTTATGGCATCACATGGCGTATGCGCAATTTGTTATAATAAACATG